GTACCTTGATCGAGGGTTGTAACATTGTCTCTTGGTGGTAAGGGTTTCATCAATGGAACAAAATTTTGAACTAAAAGTACTGATGAAGGATATGGAGACTGGATCTCTAATGATCAACTTGTTAGATCTTGGATACTTAATTCGATGGAACCCCATATTACTGGGATTTTTACTTTTTCTAACTCAAGAATGGAGTTATGGAGTTCAATAACAGATTTATACGGCACTCGGAATAATGTCACTTGCATCTTTCAACTAAAACTTGAGATTTCATGTAACGACCTAATCCAATGGATTCGAATCGATGTCGGGTGGTGTTGTAAACACAAGCCGGGTTCCTACCTGAATCTGAGGTCAATTCAAGGGAAAATGGTCATTTCAAGGTAAGAGAGAGAATTAGGTTAACTCTAAATGAGTTTAAGGAAGTCAATCTAAGTTATCATGGCCTTATAAACTCATTTTATAAGGTTCTAGGTGCAAGAACAATGTTTTCACACAATTGGCCCTTTTTTGTTTAGAAGATTTTATGAGTATTCTGCACTAAAATAGTTATAACTTCCTCTACAATTAGATTTTTTGGATAAGGTTGGTATCATTGGAAATCTGACTCAAAAACTTTGAAATTGGACTCAAATTTGACCCAATTTGAAGTTTGGAGATATGACTGCTTGATGTGAGTCCAATATTGCAAATGAATTGACAGTTTTAGTCGACTAAAACTTGTGTTATCCGGCTGGAACTCAAGGATCAGTTAGCTGACAGTGATTGTCAACCGGTTGAAATAATGCTCCAGGTCCCTGAGGTTTTATCCAAGCCCAATTTCCACCGTCGGTCGGTCAGCTGGCTTATGATACCAACCGGCCGAAACGCCATGGAAGCTGAAAAATGGGCCATTTTCGAGGTGAAATTGCCATGGACTCGACCTATGTCAATCATAAGGGTTCCAAAATGACCCAAAACAAGTACATAAAGGATGAAATATGCCAAATGAACACTATCTACTCTTTATAGACATAGATCTTAAAGAAAATACACCATTTAGTCAAAACATAACCCCTCCTTCATCATTCATCCTTGACATTATACAAAAGTGATTCCATTGTTGTCATTTACATATCCAAAAATATACAAAAGCATGTCCAAAAGAATAAGGTTACATTGACAATGCCAAAAACTACAAAACAAATACATGTCATTTGCCAAGGCTTTACAAAAATAGAATTTGATTACAAAGGATGTCAAAAACAATCTCTCTAACCCCATCTAAGCTTGTAGAAGAACATCATTCACCACTTCCTTTTCATGACCTGAAAAATATAGTAGAAGAATGAGCACAACGGCTCAGTAAAGATTTCTAAGTGGTATCTCCTCAAGCAAAGGAGACAATAACATGATTTACACAACAAGGAATAGAGATGGGATGATGGGATCATGTTAAGGGGGTTGGTAACACCATTCAAAACATTCATGATCATTTTCATCAATTTTAAGTAATGCAATGCATGGAATGCATTATGCAACTGCGCACTATACACGCACCCTTACATATCCACACACCCACACCGAAAACGTACTAGTGCTACATTTGATGGGGCTTTGGTGTCGGGGAGAAAAGCAGTTGAGGTTCTTCTAACAGATAGGGTGGTTCAACAAGTTTAATTCCCCCAATTTTTAATGTTGTTATTTGTATGATGTGAAACCATTTTGTCCAATACTCTTTATTATATTTGTATATTAATTCATGGAATGTCATTGGCAAAGAATATTTTGTGTAACAAGAAAAATCATCACAATATTTGTTGAGTGGCATTTTCACTAACACAAGTTGGTACTTTGTGCAATATCATCACAACATATTATAAAACGAAATAGGGTGCAATAGTTGCAATGCACAAATATTTGAAATTAACGTTGCAAATATTATTTAAGAATATTGATAAATTATACTTGCAATTGTTTTACTCGAATTGCACACTATTGCTCTTTTCTTGAAATTAACATTGACCATGCCATTAAATTGGAGAAAAATTTATACAAGCAGAGAGCTGATTGGGCTCCGCTTGGCTGTTAGGGTAGGGTGTTTGAGCTCCACTTTAGCTCGAGTTGAGCTCACTTCACAATGTTTGAGCTTGACTCAAAGGCGTTCACAACCTACTAGCTTGTTTTTATTTTCTGTTAATTCAAAATTTAAAAATATACATACAATTTATATATTTATTTTTTGATGTGTAAACCATTATGCCTATGGCTGTACTTTGTTGATTAGGTATTGGGCTTGTAGTATCATAGATGGGCCACTTTGGACCCTTTTCTCATGGGTCTATTTATACTGTCATTAGGGCTGGTTTGGCCTTTTCTGTTATGGGCTTGTTGATTAGGTACTGGGCTTGTAGTCCCACTTATAGGCCACTTATGACCCTTTTCTCATGGACCTAGTTATACTGCCATTAGGATGGTTTGCCCTTTCTGTTCATGGGCTTGTTAAATACCACACACTACATATTTATTATCAATACTAATTGCTTCATCTTCAAACCTAATTGTAAACTATCTTCTTGTGTTGGAGGAGAAGAAATACTTTATTGCTTTCGTTTTATTAATGAAATAGTATCATCAATTTATTAAATTTCATCGAAAATTTTTATTTGAGGACAATTTTTAGATGCCAACACTGCCTACTCGTGTCTAATATGTATTCTTTTTCAAACTGGTATTGCCATCATACTCCTATGAGGACTGTCCATATTTTCCAAACCAGAATATATAGTAAGGATTTAATTAAAGTGGTATCTGGTCATGGAGAAATAATTTATTGTGCTTGTATATGGTATCACCAAGACACCAACTAATGTTGAGACATAATGGTAGGACCTTCTAAATAAATGTGTGTATATATATATATTTACATATAATTGGTTGATACTATTAGTGCATACTCCAGATTAATAAATGAAAGGTTGATGGTTCGAGTTGAGGTAAGTCTAAAACTGTGAGGTTTACTAATAATAAAAAAAGAAGAAGAAGAGGGAAAAAAAAATTGTTAAAAGCCATAAACTAAAAATTACAGTCCCACAAGAATGTCCAGAGGACTGTCAATCAACCCACCAAACTAACCCACAAAAAGAAAGGATCTTAAATGTCCTCTAGAGACATTTAAAAATAGAAAAAGACAAATAATAATAATAATAAAAAACCCGCCATTTGTGACATTTGTTGCTGGGGTGGAGAGTTAGGAAAAGAGAAGAAAGAGTAAATTGAATCAACATCACATAACATTCAATTTAATATGAGGAACTTGTGGTCTTTGTGTGGATTGCACACTCCCTCCAATTTACTATTTCATATATCTTCCCACTTTCGTGTGGAATGCGCACTCTCTCCAATTTTATACTAACTAACAAATAATATATCTTCTCTGTATCTTCTTTCTGTGATTTATCAGTAAGTGCAATCCTATTCAGCACTCCATCTCTCTCTCTCAGTGTTCAGGTACATGAAATAAAAGAACAGTCACACACAGTCACACACACAAACAAAAAATATGACATTTTTTTGGTAGTGCAGTAACACAAAAATAATCATGAGATTGATTCTTATTTTAGGTTTTGGATGTTTAACATGCACTAGACCATTAGTTGTAAATCATGTTGAACAGATGAGATTATCGATATATCAAATCTTGAATACTTTCAAGTGTGCTACGTACATGTTGTTTGTTCTCACATATTTTCCTCCAAAGAAAAGCAATGAAGTTCTCGATTCCTGAAATTTAGTTTGTGCGGCATTAATGCTTTGTTCGGTAAGAAGGAAGGAAGATGGGTAGAGGGAAGATAGGATGGATGGAACAAGGAGAGAAAGGATAATAAAAGTATGAGTTATCCTTCACAAATTTTCATCTCTCTAAATATGGATGGAAAAGTAAATGGGAAAGAAGAAGGAAGATAAGTGAGGCTATTTAACAAGTTTTAAATTACAATAATATCCTTTGTAAATTATAATTCCTATAGATAGTGATGGCTGGCTATAATTGTAAATATTATTTCAACCTATTTCTTTCCTTCTTTCTTAACTAACATAGTAATTTGTGAGTTTATTCTCTTCTCTTCCATTCAACTGAATAAAAAAAGGGAATGACATAATCTATTTTCTCTAAGGATGTCTCGTTCAATCATTCTTCCATCTCTTATATATATATATCTAAATCTTTTTCCTTCATATGGAACGAAGCATAAGTATATACAGAGATGTGCTCTTGCCAATTAAGTTGCATGTTGTTGGTTTCTGGAAGAGCCATATAGGAAGCTTAGATATGTATTAAGATAACTCATTCATTTCAACAATATAGTAAAAGTTCAATTATGTAAGCAGAAGTTCCATTGTGATTTGAAGGTCATGAAATAGCCGTGAAGGTAAGAGTGCATACATCTAACTCTTTAATTTGTAGACGTCACAATGGTAGGACCTCGTGTACTGAGCTAGCCCTTTACGTAAGTAGATGCTCCGCGTGAAAACCCAACTATCTCAAGTGGTTTTGTATTTGACCACCAAGGCTAGAGTTGTATATCAGAAGTTAAAGATGCATAAACCATTGAACTAGAGAGTCTGTTGTAGACATGAAACTCAAAGTCATGTCATGAACTTTATCATATGTCTGCTTAAGAAAACACAACACAAATTGGAAACTGGCGGCCAATTACCAATATGTAACAATTAAAGAGCGATGCTGCTAAGAAAGACTAAAGACATTTTAAATTTGTTTCTTTGCATTAATTAAAAACCACCAACGTGGGCTTGTGCTTTCCACACTATTTTCTCCTTTTGCACCACTAGTGCTCACCACCACCACCACTTCATAAACTAATCTAGTCCCCCTCTATATATAGTCTTCATGAGGGGTGTGTGTCTTCCACAAGTAGTACTACTCTATCTATCTACCCTCTCCATTTTATTCCTTTGTGTAGTACTTGGCCTTTTGCCTTACTGTGTTATATAACTACCTCATGGCTGCAGCCGCTGCACTAAATGATGTCCAAATTTCTATTCCTGAGGGTCAAACTGAGAGTAAACAACGCCAACAACCCGATTTTGATTACTCTCAAAGGGCACAGTGGCTTCGAGCTGCTGTGTTGGGAGCCAATGATGGTTTGGTCTCAGTTGCATCATTGATGATGGGTGTAGGAGGCGTTAATAAAGACGTTAAGGCCATGATTCTTACCGGCTTTGCAGGGTTAGTTGCCGGGGCTTGTAGCATGGCTATAGGCGAGTTTGTGTCCGTATACTCTCAACTGGACATAGAGGTGGCTCAAATGAAGAGAGAGAAGAGGAGAGGGATGGGAGATAATGAAGTAGTAGTAGTACAAGAGACACAGAAGGAAAAGCTGCCCAATCCAGTGCAGGCAGCTTTAGCATCCGCGCTTGCGTTTTCACTCGGGGCCATAGTGCCGTTGCTTGCTGCTGCATTTATACACGACCACAAGGTGAGGATGGGTGTGGTGGTGGCTGCAGTGAGCTTGGCATTGGTGGTGTTTGGAGGGGTTGGAGCTGTGCTGGGGAGGACTCCTGTGGTGAAGTCCTGTGCTAGGGTGCTAATTGGAGGTTGCATGGCCATGGCGATTACTTTTGGACTGACCAAGTTAATTGGCATTGGTGGATTGGAAATGTGATCATTATATTCTCCTTTTCTTTCTTGTGTATGTAATATATTTCTTTTCATTAGTCTCTGGAAAATATATATGTAGTCCATGTTGAAAGTTTGGTTTGTCAAATAAAAGCTATTCAATAAATGTAACAACTACATGTATTTGTGCATACTCTAATTCCTGGTATGTATTTATGCAAATATGCATAGTAACTAATGGACAGTAATCTAGATGATATGATCTCCCTCTCTAAAGAAGAGTTGAGAGTTCGATCCCCACTAGGGGCAAAATTGCATGTGGGTGTGTGGGCAATCACTTCAACTTTTTTGTTTTTTTAAAATATCATACCTTCTAGTATGTAAATACTTAGGTTACATCTAGATGGAGCTTATCCCACATGGGATCAATGGAGAAGGATTTGGGCATATATGTTAAGTGTGACTCAACCTCTATCAGATTGCAGGATTCTGGAGAGCGGTTTAAGAGAGAAGAGAGGAGAGTGGGTCAGTGTAGAGAGATGTAGCTTCGAAGGTTGACTCAGAAATGAGTTTAAATTAAAGATGCAAATGTTGAATTATTCATAACACATGGACTATAACATGATATTCAACATCATTTCTCTCTAGAAAAATTGTTTCAAAGCGAACTTAAATTATTAGAGAGAAAAATACTACTAAAAATGATAAATGTTAATCTTGAGTGCTTCATCTTTCAATATTTGCTAGAAAAGAGTGTGGCCAAAGCATCAAACAAATTGATCCTTTCCTTAGCTGAATCATTGGAACAATCCATGGCCAAACGAAAGATAGATGATGCACATTCCACCTTAGCAGAGAAATTTTCGTCATCTCTTTCTATCAGATTGGTGTCCACAATTTCAATTATCAAACCCTTTATTGCTTCCTTCACCCAACGCTTCAAGCTCACCTCTCTGGCAAACATTTCATCAGTCGGCTTCTTCCTTGAAAATGTTTCCAACAACAAGACACCATAACTATAGACATCACATTTTATTGATACTCTTCCTTCAATTCAATACACTATGCACCACATCAACATTATTAATTAGAAAAAAAACAATGAAAAAAGATTCTAATCAAGGAAAAGGACTACACAAGTTCATAAAATAAATTGGAAAAGCTGAAAATTGAATTAACAAACATCACCTGGTGCCATATACCCGATTGTTGCCAAGGTCATGGTTTGTACCATTAGATCTCCTTCACCTAAGAGTTTTGCAATCCCGAAATCAGCAACACGTGCAACCATGTCTTCATCAAGGAGGACATTGCTCGGTTTCAAATCACAATGAACAATAGGTGTTGCATGATCATGATGTAAATATTATAATGCTGACGCAACATCTATATATCATTATGTTTAACCGTTGTAGAATGTCCAAAAAATAGTTGTGAGAATACAACCACTCCTCGAGACTCCCATTAGGCATGTACTCTAGTATCAAGTCTTTGAAATCCATGTTGCTGCAACTGCTGATGATTTTAATTAGTTTCCGATGACGAATGTTGCGCATTATTTGGCACTCGACATTGAAACTCTTGAAAGCTCCTTCTAGTTGCAAATTGAATACCTTCACCGCAATATTCATCCCATCCAAAAGCGTTCCTTTATATACTGAACCATAACTTCCCATGCCTATTAGGTTGGTTTCACCGAATGCTTTTATTGCTTGTAAAAGTTCCTGATACGAAACCTTTCTCCATGCAAAAGGTGATATATCTTTCTAGGTATGCAATTCGATCTCTTGTTTTTGATATATTTTCAACAAAAATACGAGGGCCATAACAAAAAATGCTAATGCAATCAAGGGTAAAATAAATTTCAGCACGGGTACAATTTTCGACCTTGATCGCCCATTCTTGTTGGTTTTACAAGGGGGAACTTGCAGTCGGGGTTCACCACAAAGTGCATCATTATGCATAAAGGATTGAGCTGTAAAGTTTGCGAAATGTTCTCCAGTAGGAATTTCCACTTGCAGTCTATTGAAAGACACATTCAAATATTTGAGATACTGGAGTGCGTCTAAGGACTTGGGAATTTCTCCAGACAAATTGTTACCGGATAGATCCAATAATTCCAAGCTTACAAGGTTGCCTAGTGATCGAGGAATGGGTCCTTGTATTTTATTGTGGGACAACGAGAGACAAACTAACGACTGAGCTCCTCCGATGGTGTTTGAGATTGTACCTGATAAATAATTCATTGACAAATCAATTAGGGTTATTACCTTCAAGTTTCTGACATACAATGGTAGCTCACCAATTAGAAAGTTTGAGGACAGGTTGAGACCCAAAAGGTCTTCAAGGCTCCACAAGTTTGACGGTACCTTGGAACTCAATCTGTTGGAGTCAAGGTAGAGCCATATTAGAGATTTAAACTCACCTAAGCATGTTGGAATCTGTCCATACAGTATATTATTACTCATAGAAAAATCTCCCAGTTTCCCCGACCGACAGAGGTCACCAGGGATGGATCCTTTCAATGCATTATTTTGAAGATGCAAACGTACGAGATTTTGTAATCTCTCTAGTGATTTCGGAATTGGTCCAATCAAATGGTTGCTTCCTAATCGTAGGATTACCAAGTTGCTTAAATTGCTTCCACTGGGAATGTTGCCCCTAATTTTGCAGCCAATTGCATCAAACACTTGTAGCCTAGTAGACAAATTCCTGACAGGCATTGGAAGTATGCCGTTTAGTGGATTTAATGATATGCGCAAGACCTCCAATTGTCTACAATTTGTTAAAGAAGAGAAAATTCTCAACTCCGGAGTAGAAGATTCCCCCTTCAAACTATTTGTATGAAGGAAGAGCTTCCGCAAGAGTGTTAAACTACCATGTTGGGTATAGATCCAGTGAATGAGTTCATGCTCATGCTAATGATGGTAAGCTTAGAAGCATTAGAGATAGAGCTTGGGATTGTTCCGCAGAGTTTGTTCATGATTAGATAAAGCTCTTCAAGATTCGGAAGCCAAAACCCTATATCCGAAGGAAGATTGCCAGAAAAGTTATTAAATCCCAGGTTAAGGATTTTCATTGTTGACACATTGAATATTTTTAATGGAATGGTGCCAGTTAAGGTGTTTCCATAGACATTAAGCCTCTCGAGATTAAGGTTACCAATCTCATCTGGTAAAGTACCTGCCATGCACAGCATGAACACCCTAGCATTATTAATCAAGCTTTAAGTCTAAATAAGAGAAAGTACGTATAAATCAAGATAGCTATTCACAACATGAACACCTTAGCATTATTAATCAAGCTTTAAGATTGACGAAGCAGGGAAAACTTATATGATGTTGATTTTTAGTCATCTAAATAAGAGTAAAAGTATAAATCAATATAGCCTTTTATAGAAGGGATCAATTGAATATAATTGAAATGCGAAAGAGTACTACCTCAAATATTGGAAAAAATCAAATTTGCATAACTAAATCTATCTATTTATAGTTATCATTGTATTATACTTGTACTATGTTATTTATGAGTCACTATACATATAGTTCACTCTTTTTATATGGTTTCGAAGTAGAAAATCCACCAATTTTCAGCTTCTCTACCAAATAAATATAATACTCTTGGAACTCTATGTTTATCGATTGATTTTTGATTCATTTTTCAACCAAATCTAAGGACGTCCAATAAAAATTTAGAACTCATTTTCCTGACTTTAATTTGGACTCCCTAGTCTATAAAAATTCTTCTGTTCTCCAGCTCTACGTGCATTAGAGAGACATATTATCTTTATTTCTTAGAGCTTTGGAGCGAGTTTTTGACATAATAATTGATAATCAACCAATTATTTTTTACTAAGGCTTTGTTTGGATACATAGGAGAGTAAAGAAAAGAAAAGAAATGATAGTATTAGTTATGAGAAAAAAGAAAAAAGAAAGAAAGAATAGCAATAATCTCTATTTAATTATGTTTGGATAGATAGAAGAGAAAAGAAAAGAAATAATCGTATTTTTGTTTGGATATGATATATTAGAGAAAAGAAGTGAAAAGATAATAACCAAATTACTATCATATCCTTTTAAATAAAAAAGATATAAATGGAATAATAATTTTCTCTTTTTAATTGTTGAAGAAAGTTTCAAAATTATGAAAATACTACTTAAACACTATCATTTCTCACACTATCTTCTCATTTTTTGAGAGATACGAAATGAGGGATAATAAGGGATAACTATCTTTCCCTATCGTTTCTTTATCTCCTTTTAAACCACCCAAATACACGTAAACCCTATCCTTTCTTTTCTTTTGTTTTCGTATCCCTCCAAATCATCATATCCAATCGCACTCTAAGGGTTATATATCTTGAATCTACAAGAGTACCTTGAATTAGGGGGTGCCTTGAATCTACAAGGAAAAAGAGATTTCACAAAGGAATCTGATATTATATTGATAAATGCAGGGACGAAGCCAATGAAGGGCCAGAGGGCACGTGCCCCCCCTTTATAATGTATGTGTTAAATTTTTAAAATTTTTCCATATATATGGAAAAAAAATTATACAGTACCCTCCCTAAATTTTATGGTTTCTAAAATTATCTCTTTGTTTTCTTTTTTACCAATTTCCTATTTTTGTTTGGTTAGGTGGAAACAGCTAGAAAAAAAAGGAAAGAGAAAATTTCAAATTTTTTTAGAGTTTGGATAGATAGAAAGAGAAACTTAATGAAAAATTTAGTTTCCCCCATTGAGTATTTTCCCTCAAAAATTTTCCACCAAAACACACATGAAAATTTTATTTTCACATGAAAGAAGCGCCTATTTATTTGTTGTTCCTATTTTACCCAGTAACTTAATCGTGCAAAGTTCTCTCCAAAACAACTTTTATTTTGAGGTAAGTTCTCTACAAAACAATTTATATTTTGAAGTAAGTTCGCAACAACTTCTATTTTGAAGTAAGTTCGCAATACAAATTATAAAGTTATATATACATAATATCAACAATAATTTCGGTAAAATTGCTCAAAATAGATCCTGCTTCTAAATAGAATTTTTTATTTTTTTAATTGTATATTCTATGTTGCAATTCTATCCACTTATAATTCGTATATATATATATATATATATATATGGTGAAATATTTAATTTTTCTCCCAAGTAGTAGTATTGCCTCTTCATCTCTAATTTTTTTATTTATTTTTAATTTGTTTATCTTAAACTAATAATTAGTTTTACTTAAGAAAATATTATGAATCCATATTCTAAATATAAATAATAGAAATGAATATAAACAATTATATATTTGAATTAAATAATCCATCATTTTACGTCATAAAGGTAGTTTTGGCATGCATAATCACTTTCTTTTCACTTTCATGATATCAAAACTAACAAACTAATATTTTTCTACAATTTTCTTGGATAAATTTTCATGCTAACCAAATGCATGCTAGAAAATCTCTTTTCTTTTCATTCACTTCACTTTTCATTCACTTTCACTTTCATTTTCTTTTCTTTTATTGCTTATTTCCATCTAACCAAACGGAGTCAGAAAAAAGTTAAATTTTCCTTCTTCAATTGAAACTATTAACTTTTTCCTTTTAAAGTTCTCCCAATTTTCTTTCTTTTTTCTTTCATTTTTCTTTCCTTTTTCTTTTTTTATTTCTACTTCTTAAAATTCTTCTACCTGCATATTTGAATAATTTTCTTCTTCTTCTTCTTTTGTATCTTACCGATGCCCCCTAACTTGAAATCCTGGCTCCGTCCCTAGATAAATGAATGAATTATTTTCTCTGCAGTATATGTATTTATAAAAAAGGAAACCATACCTCTGAAAATTCTGTAAACGCAATTCCCGAGCTCTAAACGATTAAATTTGGCCAAAAGACACCCTATCAGAATAAAAAAATTGATTCGTCGAAATCATCTAAAAAAATTGGGTCAGCCTGCCCATTTGACATTTTGACGGTCCAAACGGGCTTCAAAATCTTCAACAATCTGTTCAATTTTTCTTTGTTTGAGAGCATATACTTATACACGTGAATGATATTAGAATGGTGTTCTTTAGTAGTTCTTGGTTAAGGAGTGGATGTGAGGCTCACACAGGATTTGTATAACACTGTTTCGAGATGGTGGATTCGTTTGACAGAGACAACTAGATTCCGTGGTTTTTTTCCTTGTTGAGGTTCTTCTTACGAAAAAAAAATAAATAAAAAAAAATATCTAACTTTATTTATTTTACCTGTATAATTTTTATGATTTTGTGATTGGTTTAGCTTTAATTCAATAAAATAACAATAATAAAAAAATTAATCAAAAGAGCAAGCTAAACTTATTCAACTCCTCTAGGACTTTTGTTTCAAATCAAACTTTTCACACCACTTCCATACCGCGCAACTCATAGATTATATATTCACAAGTACATTTAGAATACCCTTTTTATATAATAGAAGAAATAAAATAAAATCTTCCTATTTACACTCACTGAAAAGAATAATAAAATAGAAAGGAAACCTACAAGACATATATAGCTAGTGATATGCATGATATGGTTGAATAATTAGCTGGAAAGGGAAACTCCTATACAAGTTCATCAATTTTCCATTATGCTTATGGAATTTATTCTCCACATTTAGTATATATCAAAACTACTAATGAGGTAGATGTGAACTTAAAATCATACCTTTCAAGTTGTTTTCACGAAGATTTATCTCTTTGAGCATAGTCAAGTTGCCAATTTCTCTAGGTATGATGCCAGTAAAGCCATTGAATGACAGTGACAAATCTTGGAACTCCCCACATTTGTGTAAATTGGATGGAATATGGCCTTCAATCTGATTCCAAGAGAGAAAAAGTCTACCAAGTTTAGGAAGATGATTGCACATATCTACTGGCAAACTTCCAGACAGGCTATTGTTTGAGAAATTAATTGTTCTTTGAGAAGAAATGTTGAAAATTGAAGATGGGATGGACCCTGTTAGAGAGCTATCGAGTATACTCAGTACTTCCAAATGTTGAAGATTGCCTATCTCTGACGGAATTACACCTGCAAAGTTGTCAAAAGCAACAATACATATATAATGGTCACAGATGATATGAGTACCTTGTTTTGATGCTCACAGTTACATTTAAAACACCCTTTACATAAAACAAAAAATTCACATATGCAATCATTGAAAATAAAGTAAAAAAATAAAAACAAGTCATATTTAGCTAGTGTTATGAATATTATTAGTTAGCAAGAGAAACTCCTATACAACTTTATCAACTTTCTATTCTGCTTATGAAATTTCTTCTCCACGGAATACATAAACATATATCAAGACTACTTACTTGTTAGTTAGATATGAGCTTAAATTACCTTCCAAGTTGTTCATACCGAGATATAACTCATTGAGCATAGTCAAGTTGCCAATTTCTCTAGGTATGATGCCATTGAAGTCATTGAATGACAATGATAGATGTCGGAGCTCCCTGCATTTGTATAGATCAGATGGAATTTACCCATGAAGCTTATTTAAAAAAAGATATAGTTCTCCAAGTTTAGGAAGATGGATGCACATATCTACGTACCGGCAAACTTCCAGACAGACTATTATTTGTGAAATCAATACTTTTCAATGAAGAAATGTTGAAGATGGTAGAAGGAATGGGGCCAGTTAGAGAGCTATTTTGAAAGCTCAATATTTCCAGACGTGGAAGATTACCCATCTCCAAAGGAATTACACCTGCAAAGTAGTTAAAAGGAACACATATATAATTTTCTCCCCTGTTGTACTAGTGTGTTTGTAATGAATAAATAATTACGCAATAAAAACAATTTTTTATTTTTTATTTTTTAGGGATAATTTCACTGACACCCCCAGTAGTTTGACCAAATATTAGTCTAAAACATTTTTTGAAAATAACTATCACTCACATTACAAACGTTTGCTCCGTTTTTCACTCACACCCCAAAAGTTAGTTGACAGGTGTGTCAGACCACTTTTTACATGTAAAAAGACATTCTTACCCTTCGACTTTGGTTTGACCCACTAAATTATTTCTTTCATAATTAAAATTACATGTTTACCCTCATTTGACTTTAGTTTGACTATTCAAATGACATGTTTACCCTTCCTTTTCCATATACAAGAATAAATAAAATAGGTGATCAACATCATACAGTGTGGTATTGAGGGCTATTATATGCCACATAAGTGTCCGGTTCTATATATTTTTAAGGAAATTAATGAAATTTTAAGTAAGAAAATTTTATTTTATTTTATGGAAATTAATAAAATTTAAAAAGAGAAAGAGAAAAATAAGAAAATTTTAAAAACTAAAATAGAATAATAAAATAAGAAAAATCACCCATTCATATATTTTTGTAAGGAAATTAATGAAATTTTATTTTTTTAAGGAAGTTAATGAAATTTAAAAAGAGAAATAGAAAAATAAGAAAAATTTTAAAAACTAAAATAGAAAAATAAAATAAGAAAAATCACCCATTCATATATATATTTTTTAATTTGAATTATATATGTTTAGGTTTGTGAGAATTGCTTATTGTATGTTTATGTTTTTTCAGATTGGTGAATTTGTATGATTTAGGAATTAATTGGTTGACAAAAATTTCAAATTTATTACTCCATTTATTTTTAGAGGAGTGCTAACTGCTAATTAATTAGTTGACTTAGGAATTAATTGGTTGAATTTATATGTTTATTCAAAAATTCCAAATGGGTTGATTTAGGAATTAATTGGTTGAATTTATATGTTTATTTATTTTTGTTAATTTTTTATTTATTTTTTTCTGTTTATGGGTCCCCTCCCTCTCCGCTCTCTTTCTCTCTCTTCTTTTTCTCTCTCTAATCTCTCAGGCCAGACAAGTCTCCGGCGCCGACACCATCAACAAAGACACCAAGTCTCATGCCGCCACCTCCTGCAACCCATCTAGTGCATTCAGTTACATCTGGTAAGCCCAACTAATGTCGAGAACTCTTAAATAAACAGGTGGAGAGAGAGACAGAGAGATTGAGAAAGCGTAGGCATCGATGGTGGAAGTGAACCCATATTTGCAGACCCAAATTACAGAGGCACCGACGATGGTGCCAAAATAGTGGAAGAGAACCACTATTTGCAGACCTAAATTGCAGAGGCAACGACGATGAACCCATATTTGCAGATCCACTTGATCGGCGGTACGCAGTTGGATGGAAGGTATATGGATTTGCTCGGTGATGTATGTAGATGGCTCTGGAACTTGGGCTTGATGGTACGAAATTTGTACTCTAGAAGGTTTTGTGTATCTATAGAGAAGAGATCGAGGAGCAACTGGGTGGAGTTAGAAATTCGGGAGCAGAGAATTTGGATAGAGATAGAGGAGAGAGAAATAGTGTGTGTAGGGGTAAAGAAGTCATTTATATTATCTAATATTTTAGAATAAATGTGATTAAAAAATTAGGGGCAAACATGTCTTTTCCCATGTTTTTAACGTAGACAGTAACGGAAAAGCGAAAATGGACCTAAGTGATAGTTATTTTCGAAAGATATTTTAGACTGATATTTGGCCAAACTACTGGGGGTGTCAGTGAAATTATCCCTATTTTTTATAATTGGGATGTCCAAGGTTTTTCCCTAACTAATCCATATGACTCGTACAAGCTCCTCCGAAATCGGGTAACTATATCTATAGGCGTGACCCATAAGAAATTGTTTGCAATTAGGAGGAATTGATCCTGAGACCTGAATTCCTTGCTTTAATGCTCACAAGTAATTATAGAATACCCTTTACATATAACAAAAAGAAAAACAAACTCAAAAATAAAGAAGGAAACTTACAAGTCCTATTGATCGATCTAGTGTTATGCATGATATGGTTAAATAATTAGCGAGGGAAACACCTTCAATAGAAGGTATATATATATCAAAATTAACTACAAACTCTTGGGCTAGATGTGAACGTAAAACCATACCTTTCAAGTTGTTATTACTAAGATATAACTCCTTGAGCATGGTCAGTTTGCCAATTTCTCTAGGTATGCTTCCATCAAAGCCATTGAATGACAATGACAAATATTGGAGTTCCCTACATTTGTATTAACCGGATGGAATTTGTCCATGAAGCCGATTCCGAGAAAGATAGAGTCCTTCAAGTTTTGGAAGATGGATGGACATATTTACCGGCAAACTTCCAGACAAACTATTATTTGTGAAATCAATACTTTTCAAAGAAGAAATGTTGAAGATGAAAGATGGAATGGGGCCTGCTAGAAAGCCATTTTGAAAGCTCAATATTTCTAGACGTGGAAGATTACCCATCTCCAAAGGAATTACACCTACAAAGTAGTTAGAAGGAACACATATATAATTTTCTCCCTTGTTATACTAGTATGTTTGTAATGAATATATAATTACGCAATAAAAATAAATTATTATTATTATTATTATTTTTAATTGGGATGTCCACGGTTTTTTCCTAACTAATCCACAGAACCTGTACAAGCTCCTCTGAAATCGAGTAACTATCTCTGTTGGCGTGACCCATAAGAAATTGTTTGCAATTAGGAGGAATCGATCCTGAGACCTGAATTCCCTGTTTTGATATATGCTCACAAGTAATTATAGAATACCCTTTACATATGAGATAAAGAAAAACAAACTCAAAAATAAAGAAGGAAACTTACAAGTCCTATTGATCAATCGAGTGTTATGCATGATGTGGTTAAACAATCAGCAAGGGAAACACCTTCAATAGAAGGTATATATATATATCAAATTTAACTACAAACTCTTGGGTTAGATGTGAATGTAAAATCATACCTTTCAAGTTGTTATTACCAAGATATAATTCCTTGAGCATAGTCAGTTTGCCAATTTCTCTAGGTATGTTTCCATTAAAGCCAATGAATGACAATGACAAATATTGGAGCTCCCTGCAATTGAATAAACTGGATGGAATTTGTCTATGAAGCCGATTCCGAGAAAGATCAAGTTCTTCAAGTTTAGTAAGATTGCTGCACATATCTACAGGCAAACTTCCAGACAAACTATTGTTTTGCAAATGGATTTCCTTGAGTCGATGCAAACGAGCCAACTCCTTGGGTATATTTCCATTGAAATTGTTATCGCGGATATCAAGTGATAAGAGAAATGAGAGATTTCCAAGATGTGGAGTGATGGTGCCTTGGAGACAGAAATGAAAGAGATTTAAGGCCATGACCCTCACGTGGGTGAGACCACAAGAGACACCAATTCAATTGCAAACTGAGGTAATGGAGGACCAATTACTTTCCAATATATCTTGAGGGTCATAAGTGATTAGGGTTTTGAATGCATGAAGAGAAAATTGGTCGGTAGTTAAGTTTGTGATGGAGCTAGACAAGCAAACCATGAAACAGTTTACCAGTAATATTGAGATGGAAAAGAGGAAGCAATTAGTTTTCTCCATGGTAAATTAGTATATAAACTATATATTAATGGAGTTGTATATGTATATATAGCAAATTACAATGATGGATGCATGGATTAGCCGGATTTATATAAGATGGTGAAATAAAATAAAGCACAGCATATAATCAACCAAACAACGTTCGAAAGTTCTTGTGGGGTTGACTAAATAATACGTGTGAACACTTGCAAGGTCTCACTTGTAAAGGACACCTTGTGTGAAGCTATCTTTAAATCTTGTGGGGTTGACTAACTAATACGTGTGAACACTTGCAAGGTCTCACCTGTAAATGACACCTGGTGTGAGCACTTGCGGGATTTATTTATATATTTATTTATTTATTTATTTTTTACTTTCTCAAAGAGAACATTTATTAAAAAAAAACAAAAAAAAAAAAAAAAAAAAAAAAAAAAATTAAAGATATTTTTTCAAAACAAAGTAATAAATTCATTTACCTAAAAAAAAAAAAAAAAAAACAATGTAATAAATTAAAAAAACAATTATATTTTGATTGATAATATTTTTATTTGTAACATTTAAAATTGTTCTTGATGATTTTTTATATTTAGTGAGATATTCATACAAAATTGAAGAAAAAAGCTGTGTATTGAAGTAACACAACTATGCCAAATAGAACAAATTTAAATATGTGTTTGTATTATAGTCAGCATATATCTTATTTTATATACTTAAATTGCAGGGACCTCCTTATGATTTGTCATAATTATAAGAACCTCCCCTATGATTTGAAAATTTTCTTGAATCTTTCTTAAGAAGGATCTAACCTACACGGACCTCCCTTCAACACAAGTCAATGATGAATTTTGCTAATTTTTTCATTAAAGACATTTTAAACCTTAAAAAGTAGGAGAATTACCAAAATACTTCACCCTTACCAATATAACCATTGTTACATAGTGTAACGACCCGATCATTTGCCTTCCTTTCCTTTTTCCTGAAATTTTACGAATGAATTTTTTTCGTTTAATTTTCCTTTCTGAGCTCTGTTTCGTGTCGCTTAGTGTCATCTCGAGTGCTCGAAATTGGTTTCTGAGACTCTTTCATGTGAATTGACAACTTCCTTTGAGGACCGAGTCATTTTCGCATTTTTCGTTTTTGGACACTATGAGCTATTTCGTCTTTTCCCTATTCTGTCATTTTCCCTATTTCGTCTTATCTCAGTTTGTCAGTTTTTGGCACAACCTCACTTCTCATGCTCAGAGTTGGTTTTTGACTTCACGTGCCTTCATCTTGAGTGGTTTCCACGAAATACGTATCTTTACTTTTGTAAGAAAGTACTCTGGTTGCTCCCGGTGTCCATAGGGGTATGGATGTAAAGTTGTTTGAAATTATTTTCTTTTCTTGGTGTGTTTTTCATAAATATCTTTTGAAGATATTTTATTTTAGGGGTTTTTAAGAAAATATTTTTGGAAGATATTTTCATTCTGGGCCATAAGTGCAGTTTTCACTTTTTGGAGTGGCCATTGTGCAATTAATGAAAGTTATTGCAAAATGTCTTGTTTTGAGCCTGGATCCTCGTACGGGATTCATTTTCACATTTCGTCGAGTTGTGTACTCTTGGAATTTCCTCCTGGTCGATGTTTTCCAGTTTCTAGGTTTCTGGCCCCGGTTTTTGCTAAACTTGTTTTGGGCATAACTTTCTGCTCGGGACTTAGTTTTTGATGCCATTTCTTTCGTTGTTCATATTTTATCATTTTGAATATTTTTCGTTCATAAAGTTTTTCCATTTGAGCGCGTCTGCTCAAATTTTACTTTTTCGGACCCGGCGGGGCCTGTTCGGGGCACTTTTTGAGATTTCTATAAAAGGGGGGTGAGATATTTCATTTTTCATCTTCTCCCCTCTTCATGCACGACCTGGAGCTCCCATGGCAGCCTAAGGGGTGCTGCCATCTTCTCTCTCCTCTTTTGGTTCACTTTTCCTTGATGGAAAGTCTTCGGCCTTAACGTTTGTTGTTCCCCTCGCCGTGTTCTACCTTTCCCCCTTATTAGAATTCAGTTTTGACCATTTCTTGAGTTTGATTTTGAGGTCAAGTTATGATTTTGATGGGGCTTTCATGGGGGTTATGTTCACGGCGTTGTCCCCGACAAAACCTAGTAGTTTCGTTGGATTCGGAGCCGTTCCATTTTGATGGCTTTTGAGATTTTAATCTCAAATTGAGGTAGGGGATGTTCTAGGTTTAAATTCTTGTTATATAGCATGCTTGTGATTCTTATACTACTTGTTTGCATGATTAAATATAAAATCTAGATATTTTATTATTTATTTTTCTTGTACGGGATCTAATTTTCCCGGTTGCTCATTGTTACTCAAGAATTGACTCTAGAGGGGGGGTGAATAGAGTCAATGGCCAATTTTCGTAAATTATTGAAATACAATTTCTAATCAACAGTATAACCAATTATGCAATAAACAAGATATGAAAGTAATCAATTTAGCACAATTGTAAATGAGATAAGGGAAGAGAGATTGCAAACAACAACACAGCGATTTTTGCGAGGTTCGGAAACTCCTACTCCTCGGCTCAAGATCCCTCTTGAGACTTCCCAAATTCCTTAGAGCTTCTCCTTAATGGTGGAGAGCAAACCTTCAATTGAAGCAAGACCTTGCTTCTCTTTCTTGCTAAGAGAACACCCTTCTCCTAGGCTTTCTTTTGGGTCACACCAACCCTTTACAGTATCCTTGCTAAGAGACCACCTCTCTTAGTTTTACATAGGCCACACCAGCCCTTATAATTTCTTTGCTACGAGAAACTCTTCCTTTTAGGCTTACAGCAGATTTGTAGATAGAATTTGTAGTACAAGAAATCCTCTCAAGAACTGATACAAATCAAACCTCACAATAGAGTATATATGAAATCAAGTGAAGCTCAAACTCTAAGTATGAAATGTATGAGAGATGATAAGGAAAATGCAGAACAAAAGCTCTGATGAAATACTAGAACAAAAGTTCAGCAAAGGCTTACTAAATGCTCTCTGAAGTTCACTCTGGTTCAGCTATGGAAGCTTCTATATGAGATGAAGATTGATGTCTAAACAGAGGCTCTATGAGTGAGTAAAACCAGAACAAAAGCTCTGTATTAAGATAGAGCCAAAAGCTCTCTTTGATGCACTTGAATGAATGTTCTTGAATGCTCTCTCAAGTAGTATAATAGAGCAAAAACTCTTTGAAGATTAAAATAAGAGCAAAAACCCTGTTAATCTTTTCTGGAATCTCTCAAGATAAAATAAGAGTGAAATGAGAGAGATGAAGAGAAGATTGAGAACAAAAGCTCTGATTACAATGTAATTTAATGTCTCTTAAAAAAATGGTGTTTTTTTGTAGACAAGCCCTCTGTATATATATAGAAATTTGTAGCTCAATATAGCTGTTAGAAGTGGTTAGAGGAATTAAATGCAGAAAAAATGCCGTTGTAATTCAAAGCCCTCAAAGGAGCCGGCTCTTTGCAAAAGTGGAGGCGGCTCAATTTCAAATGGAGGCGGCTCCATTAGAAAAGTGGAGCAGGCTCTTTTTCTGAAAAGGAGACGGCTCAATGGAAAAGTGGAGCCTTCTCTAGATTTTTAGAGCCTTCTCTACTTTTTGGTAGAGCCTTCTCTACTTTTTGGTAGAGCCCTCTCTAGTTTTTCATTGAGCCTTCTCTACTTTTCTGACCCATCTCTAAATTTGTAGAGCCTTCTCTAGTCTTTGAGAGAGCTGGCTCTATTTCTTATAGAGGCTGCTCTTGCTTCATGAAGGCTGCTGCTAAATTGGACAGAAAAAAGTGCATGACTTCAAATAGACATAACTCAGACCATGAAACTCCAAATAAGGTGACATTTGAGTCTAAAGTTATTGTCTTGAAGTCAGCTATCTAAACCCACCGGCCTTGCTCAAAAATTCCAACCATAGAAAAAGTTATGGCTGTTTAAGTGCAACCTGGTCAGAATTTTCGCAGAGCAGAATCAGGTATTTTGTGAAGCTCATATCTCAGTCATTTTTAATCCAATTTAGGTGAAATTTGAGTCTAAACTCAAGGGCTCGAAGTCAGCTTTCCAATTCCACTGGCCTTGTGTAAAAATTCCAACTACACAAATAGTTATAGTAGTTTTAGTACAAGCTGGTCTGAAATTTTCTAAGCTGAAAATAGCTTCTTTTGAGATATCCATCTTTCTAGCACCTAAGACTTTGATGAATGATTCAATTAAGTTCAAGGCCTATTTCTAAGAGTCTTGGGACATATGAAGATGATAAATTTCAAGTGCATTGTGTCCAAGAGTTATTTACCAAATTTTGGCAACAAAGGCTTTAAAGACGAAAAATTAATTCAATGCCTTTTCCTTTTCTTTTTAGAGATCAAAATAAATATAATGATTAATGTGCATGGTCCTAGAATTTCTAGCTTAAAAAATAAGTTCTTTCAAAGCTTATCAAACTTGAACTAACTCTTTCTTAGCAAAGATTTCATATGACAATATATATAAATGAAGTTCCTAGTCTATTGCTAATGGTCATAGGAGCATATGAATGATATATGATATGCATGGTCCTATAATTTTGAGCTTCAAAAAATATTCAAATATACTTTGACATTGAATCTTAAGCTCTCACCATCCTATCTACCCTTTTCTTCATTCTTTGACCATGATCGTTTAGGCTTGATGAAGACTTGCTTTCTTTCTTTGAAATGCTTTGTGTGATCTTTGAAGTCCAAGTTTTTCTTTGATTTCTTGCAACTTTGATGCTTCCTTGAATCCATTGCTTGAATGTTTGG